TGAATGAAACTGAAACTGGAATCTCCGAGTGTTCAAATGTATCGCAGTGGATAGCATTTTTAACTGTTTTGCATTCTAAACATCTTAGTCAATTTCAGTTTTGCTCCAATATATATTGCAATGAATATGAACTTTGAAAAGAGGTTATTAATTAGTGTCGCGATACCCAACGTGTTAACCGGTTAGCTGTTTTCAGCGAGTATAATCGCCACGACACAAAAGATGTTGCAATTTCTTCGTATTCTATAAAAGTTATTTAAACTAAAAATACGACGACTATCGAACATATACGGTATAATAATGGTAACTTTTCAAAGAGATTCCGACTGGTAACTGGTTAATCTGTTCCAAACCGTAGGCTCTATTTTATATGAAAATATTGCAACGATCGTGTGTGTGCCAATGGGTCAAATGACACGTAGAGAACTAAAACACAGCGCGCGTGAGAAGATTTGATGTACCGGCGAGTATCTTCTAAATGATAATAAACGAGAGACGCGATGGTACAGAAAAAGAGTCAACGTCTGCAGGACAGAAGTTTGTCAGCGTGCTCGGTTTTCCCGTGAAAATGCCGGACGAAAGTTCGCGTCTCGAGTGCGAGCATTTCCTATTATTTCGAGTCAGCTCTGTGGTCTCGATGGTTGAGCGTCGAGAGAGCGTGACGAGCTCTAAAAGAGAAAAAGGAAACGATCGAGCGATCCGTCGAGGGGCAGGGGTGTGTTCGCGGGGCCGGGGTAAAAAAGGAGACGCCTGGCAGCCCAGTCTCCGGGATCACGATTTGTCTCGTTAGAAGCTGGAAAACGTCGACGGCAGCGCCGACTCGGCGGTTTTCCGCCGCAGACGCCCGCCAGAAAGCATCGACGCTAGCAGAAATAATTGGTGCCTTCCCCTTGATTCCCGACTTGCTCGCGTAACAAGGTCCATTTCCATGGAATAACCATCAGCGGTAATTGGCACCTACAGTGGATACGCGGCCCCTATCATATTTCAGAACGACGCTGGCCAGAGGCGGACCCGGTGGTCGAGGGGGTGTGCAGAGGGAGGACAGGGGGTGGAAAGGAGACAGGAAGAGGAACTCCGGTCCAGGGGAGACCGCGTCGCGGATCGCAAATGCGTGTTTTATACAGCGACGGCACCCTTTCGTTTTTTCAACGCGACCGAAGGGGGTGACCTTTGCGGATAACGAAGAGCCATCGACAGCTCGCTAACAACCCTCTGTCCGGCTTGCCAAGATCCGACGTATAAAGTGTTCACTCCAGTTTCCAACAGGATTCTATTTCGCCGATTGCGACCGCTGGAGCTGTTTTTACCGACGCGGAATATATTTCGAATTTTCGTAGCTTTATCCTGGATGAAGAGGCAGCGAACACGAGTCCTCGTTAATATCGGCGATCCAGTCGAGGAAATACCCAAAGATTGACTTTTGCTCGAAAATCATGTAACACGATCGCGATTTGTCTCAGATATTACGTAAAACGATGAGAGAAATATTTGGCATCTTCCAGCCGAGCGCTAAAAGTGAACGATACGTGTTGCTTTGTAAGAATAATAGGACTGAATTTATATAGACTGGGCGCCACTTCTGTGTGTGTGTGTGTGTGTGTGTGTGTGTGTGTGTGTGTCGTAATCATAGATTAAGATAAGTATTGAATTATTTCGTGTGCAAGTGTTTTTATAATTAGAACAATTTAAGAGAAAAAATACGATGGGTAATTTTCAACAGCATGACAGATTTTTCGTTGAACTTCTAACTGCGGCAGAGGTTTCTTTACCGTGCAAAAATGCGTGTGAAGAATTACATTTAAAAGAATAAAAATATCGTGTTACATTTTCAAGAAATGTGACTTTCGCTTTCAACATGAAGTCTAAAGCGAAAGAAAAAATTATTTCAGGCGCAAAATTTTATAAAACATTTAGTGCACGAATTTCGCATTGGCCGTGGTTGGAGAGTCAATGACAAATGAGAAACAAAGTATGAGCAGAATGGTAAAATAGAAATACTTCACTTACCTTTTTTCCAGATCGACATAAATCCAGATAGCTCGAATGCCTAGGAATACGTTCCTGTTTCAAGTAATTCGAAGTGAGAAACTCAATTAATCGTCGTTGACTTTTTCAAAGTACTTTGACTTCGCTTATCTCGATTCTGCTTACGTTTCAATAAACGTTTCTATTGAAAATAATTAATCGAGTTTCCCGCAGACGGGATGCAAGGATCTGGACCAACAAGCACTCGTGATAAAACGCGATGCACGCGTGATGCTCCCGAAAATCGAAGGACGACTCCTCTCTTGGTACGAACGACGAATAAAAGAAAGCTATTCGAATGAAGAAAAAAAATGGAAACGAACGATAAGAAATATCCTCGCTCGAGGAGAAGAAGAAGAAGAAGAAGAAGAAGATAAAAAAGGAAAAGTGAACAAGATGAACGAGCATCACCCGCGTCGGCGGATTTTCTCGCGAGCGTTTCAAATAAAAGGCTGCAGACACAGAGGGCGTACACAAGATGTAGCATTTAATGCTCACGTTTCAAAAAAACACTATACAATGGACACTCTCTAACATAGACCACCTTTGACATCGTCCTTCCTTTCATCGTCATCACGCTGCGATCCTAAGTGTGTTCCTTCTGGAACAGGATCGATCGACGCCGATTTACCGCGAGACGATCGAGACTGTTCCCCGTTCTGTGTTTCGAGACGTGTTTTGTGCGTCGAATTCGTTCATGGTGGCGTCTCGACGCGCGCCGGGGATACACATGCACGCGCGCGATTTCGTTGCAGATTGCACGGCGGGCGTGCACGCGTCGTTCCCCGTAATAATAATAATACTTTACATCGACAGGTATCGTTTTCTATCGCCGCGTTCGCACGCTGACTATTTCTTTGTCTAGCGCCACCGGGCTCCGCGAAAGCAAGGATTACCCGCGCAATCAAGGGGACGATTCGACCGACAGGCAACCCCTCACCGAGAGGGCGCGATCGCGAAAACTGGAAAGAGAGGAAACCGGAGATCTCCTCCGATCACGCGTCGTCGTATCACAATCGATGGATCGATGATCGAAGACCGGTCACGAGTCGGCGAATACAGAACACAGTTCGATTTAATTCGTTTTTTTTTAATTTATTTGCCGTTCCTCTTGTTTTTTTTTTACTTAAGGGTGTCAATAGGTCGTCAATACGCAAACAGTTGAAAAAATCTGATTCCATACCGATATAATAAATTTTTAGCTTACTATACACATCGTCGTCATCGTCAGCATAATCATAATCATTACCACCATCATCATTACCATCATCATAATCATCATCATCATCATCATCATCATCATCATCATCATCATCATTATCATCATCATCATCATCACCGTCATCATCACCGTCATCATCACCATTATCATCATCATCATCATCATCATCATCATCATCGTAATCATCGTTATCATCATCATCATCATAATCATCATCATCATAATCATCATCATCATCATCATCATCATCATCATCATCATCATCATCGTATCATCGGCGTAATCACCATCGTAACGTGGTTTATCAGCATCTCATCGTCAGCGTTATCGTAATCGTTTCGCCACTTTCGATGATCGTAACGACGACCGATCTTCTGAATAATACAGCCAGCGACGCCGACGCCCGGCGTCGTCGTCATACCGTTTCACGTCGTTACGATCATCGCCGCCATTCGCACGGCGACGGTGGTCGCTCGAACGTCATCGTTTTCACCGTAATTACACGATAATTATACATTACTTTCCCTCTCTCTCTCTCTCTCTCTCTCTCTCTTTCTCTCTCGTACGCACGCGCGGATTCTTCGCTGCTCCGTCTCACACTCACGCCGCTTCTCCCGCATCTTCCTCGCCTCATCTTTCTTACTTTACCACTTTCTCGTCATCTGTCAGACACACAGCACGCACACGCACACGCGCACACACACGCGCACACACATGCCACACGCACACTCTCAATATCCAGCCCTATACATATATAACCGCTCGTTACCTCGTCGCCGCTCATAAAATCTTTGTTTTAAGTTTCTTTACCCTCTAACATGATTATTACTTAGATACCTTACTGTTACTTCGTATACATTTTTAAGGCGATGATTCAATCGGGTGAACTCATTTAGAAAAACGAACAGCCAATAAACGTCGTCCGTTCGCCGGCGTCTTCGCGTCCCTTCCGCCGGATCGCGGCGGACACCGCGCCTGACACCACGCCGGACACCGCGCCGGACACCACGCCGGACACCGCCCAGCCGGCACGACACCACGGTCTCGTTAATAGCTCGTGCGATCCTGGTGTTACTCGCGTTTGCGGGACGCATCGCCGGGCATTTCTACGAAAATATTGATCGCCGGTTCTCCGACCGGCACCGCGGGGGTGGCCGGACGGGGTGCTGGTCGCGTCGGAGACCGGTGTAAAAAGACGGAGAGCAGGTTTGTCCGCGCCGCTAGGGTCCGTTGCACCCTGAGAGCGAGGCGGAAACGCGCGCCGCGGCTCCCGTGGAACCTTTTCCCGACCTAGTCCGCCGGACCGTTGTTTCTCGTCAGTGTGAAAAAATAATTCAATCACCGATACCTGGATCTGTTGTCGTCCGTTCGACCCGTGGCCGCTACGCAAACGTGTCCGAGCGGTTACAAATGATATAGAAAAATTGTGATCGAACGACGGTCCGGCGTTTCTATCGTCTTTCTTTCTTTCTTTAGACACCGCGCCGATCGATCGGAGCTCGATCGGGTAGAACCGCGCGTTGGCCCGTTGAAATTTCTCGTGAACGCGGCGCGGGCTCGTACGCGCGTCGCCGTGGACGGCCGGCCGCGGAGGCGTGTCTCAACAAAATTAAACAATATATCGTTCAACAAATAGAATTCGTAAAAAACCCGTACGCCTCGTTGGCGGGCCGTGGTCGGCGGCGCGCGGCCCTCGCCGCGGTTTGTCCCGTCGTACGTGTCCATGATTGTCTCGTACTTTGATAATCACTTTGTTCCTCGATTCGCGAAGTAGGATTGTTCTCGAGAGCGAGCATCGGGCGCGGGGAACCGTCCGTAGGCAGCGGGACTCGTCCGCGGATCTTAAATATTCTCTAGCAGTCGGAACACGCCGCCGCTGGTGGCGGCCGAGCGGATAAATACTCTCTGGGTCCCCGTGGTAAAAAGCGTCCACCTTAAAATCAGATGGGCCCCGGGCGAGGCCCGCCTGTCGCGTTTTAAAACGTTTAAAAGTATCCGCGTCGATGTCCCGCGGACGGTCCGCGGCGCGGATCGGTTGCCCGCGCAGTCCGCTCGCGGCGTATACCATGTATCCTGGCAGCTTGGTCGTCGAGAAACTTCAACCGCGGCCCAACACGGTGACTCGCTCCAAAGAAAAACCGAGAAAATAACAACAGAAACGGAAATGGTTCGATCGCCGTCGTCTCGACCGGGGATCGCTCGAGAACTCGCGCATAGGATCGCACAATCGATTGCCGCGCTCGTGAGGTCGAATTACGCGCGCTCCAGCAGCCGATTTTAACGATTCTGATCGGTCGCGACGCGTCTCGCGACGAGTGTCCGAGATTTCTCCAATTAACCAGGACCTAAAGCTGACTTCTCTCGCACCTGAGTCTTTCGGTATACGTGGATTATCTTTTTTTTTTTCTTTCAGTATACTAATACGCCGCTGCGCCGGCCCGAGAGGAATCGGAGGAGGAGATCGTTCCCCCGGGCGATTTCTCGCCGCCATTTTGATCCGTCGCTCGTGACCCATCGACGGGAAACGATCGCGGCCCGGTTCCTCTCTGATCGGCAGGACGCGCGACAAGAGCAGTGTGTTTACATTTAAAATTTTTATAGAAGATCTGCGTGTATGCGGGCGTATTGAAAATATCGATAAAATTTCTCTCGTCTGCTCTGCGTCTCTCTCGATCGTTCACTTTCTCGCAGCCTCGTTCATTCACCTCTCGCTCTGCTTCTCGCTCGCTCTCTCTCTCTCTCTCTCTCTCTCTCTCTCTCTCGTACGATGTCTCTTTCTCTCTCCCTATTCCTCTCTCTCTCTCTCTCTCTCTCTCTCTCTCTCTCTTTCTCTCGTGTCCCATTGCCTCCCTCGTTGCCTCTCGATCGACGACCGATCATCCGTCGCGATTCGCGACTCTCCCAAGGATCCGTTGTTTCGAACTTGCCGCGCGCGCGCGCTTCAGGGGTGCATTCACGACGATTGGCTCTGACATCTAATCGATGGCTAATTTTATGAAAATTTTCAACCTACTCGCGTTCTCGCTCTCGCACTCACCCAGCCTTTCTCGGGGTAAACACGCTATTTGCTCCGTGGAGTGTCGTAACGAAGGGGCCTGCGTTTCTTTCGTCCCTGACGAAAGCTCAATGTCTTCGATCGTGAAGCAACTTTGAATCGCGATAGGGAAAGATGTTGGAAGGAACGAAAGTGTTGGTAACGTTCGGAATCGTAGTGTTCTGCGAAAAGTATGCTCTACAGGATATGAAAACGGAAGTGGACCAACGACTTTCAACAGATTCGGCTCTGTTCTACAAGCTGTACGCAACCAAGGATCGCGCACGCCCAATTGCTCTTTTACGAGCGACGTCGAATCCGGGATTCGGCGAAATTTCGATCGGCTGTGTGGACCGATCGACCATTTCGTCGAGAGATCCTTCGGACGCTGAAATTTCATCCGATTCCCGAGATTCTACTCGGAAACCGATGGAAACTCTGCCAAATGACGTCGTTCGCTCTGCGTAGATAGCGAAGATCGCGGAAAATTTCGTTGAATTCCGATCTTTCTACTACGAGTGTCGTTCGATCGCAATTTTGACGGCATTCTACCGCGAGTACACGTAACATTTTGCGCTCGAAACCTTTTGACGGATTACTGTTTTGTCGCTCTACCCGATTGTACCTATAAATTTGTCCGATGTTTCTAGTAGGTTGGCTTATTGGCAACGACATGTTGGCCAACCTAATATTAGATAGAAGATGCTTTCGTTGCGAGTTGCATGAAATCAATTGGAAGAAAGAAGAGAAGGCCCAAAGCAGATTCGAACGGCAGAAGCAAAAATACGATGTCCTCTGTTAAGCGAACTGTCTGTGACTTTCGGCATGAGGTGGCCAGGGTGAAAGAAAAGATCGCGAAGGAGGGAAAGAGGGAAAGAAAGAAACGTCCTTCTCGATCGTGCTCGTTAACTCTCGCCTCCCGCGATTCTCACCCTCTGGCGTGTCGAGGTTCTGACTGGTCCGTAGTTTCTCCATTTATTATCGAGCCCTTTCGCCTCCCCAGAGCTTGTCGCGTCGAGTCACGGCACAGGACAGGGAAAGAAGGAGCGACGGGAAGAAATGGAAAGACGAGAGAGAGAGAGAGAGAGAGAGCGCGAGAGAGAGAGAGCGAAAGAGTGTTGGGTGCGCGCGCTTGCTCGCGAAATACCGTGTCGCCCTTCCAATCGAACGTGTCCGCCCTCTCCCTGTCGACGCTCGCCGCGGCTCAATTAACTATGTATACACAATATATTATATAATAAACTGTAATCGTGTACTCCTTTGCCCAGAGTGTGTATGTTTTCATCGTTTAGGTTCTTTTAATTATCGTTACGGTGTGGGAGACGGGGCTGGGATAATAACGCTCTTTTTCGCGCGCGCTTCCGTGTACACTTGTTCTATCCTCTTCGTGGGCGTGTGTGTGTGTGTGTGTGTGTGTGTGTGTTCGAATGTGTTTTATGCGTTTAGATCTGACACTGTGTTGGTGTAACGGTTCAGGTGGGGTTAGAGTGACCCGACGACGAAGAGCGTCCGATCCTCTCGCAGGTATCTATATTTTTGTATTTATATATTTATATATTTATATATATATATATATTTTTTTCTTTATATATATAGTCCCTCACCGCCGTCACTCGCGTGTTAATTAATTCTCTCTTTCTCACGCATACTCGTACTCTTTTGGGGAGGAATTGGTGGATGAGGAGGAAATCTGTCTCTCGCTCTCTCTCTCTCTCTCTCTCTCTCTCTCTCTCGCTCGCACGCTATCATTCTGTTTCTCTTGCACTGCGTCTCTCGTATTTTCATTTGCGTTGTTTCCCTCCCGATTCCACGCGGCCACCACCTCACGCACACTCGCAGGTGTACAGACGCGCGCAGACACGCACACACGCATACACGCACACACACAGTCGCCTGCCGAGAAATACGGGAACGCACACGAGATAATAATCGTCCTCCCGCAGTCCAATTAAAACGCTCGCTTATATATATATTACAACCGGGGCCACGTGTTACTTCAGTTATGTATATATTTATATATAATTACTTCCTCCTTTAATTAGTAAATTCATTTATCATTAATAACTGTACAAATTTCAATGTCACCTATAGAATTATATGCAAGTGAATGTGGTCGACGCTCGAGTCCGGCACACACGCGTCGATTCCATTCCCCGTTTCTCTAAACGTTACCTCGATCCCACCTGGTTCCTTTCGCCTCGTGTTCCTTGTTTTCAGGCCGCGACGGATGCCTCTGTACCATCTTTTGTATGCGCGAGCGGGTCCGCGTCGACCCCGCGATCGGATGGGTTACCGATGTCCACCGCGTTCGACCGCGAACCGCGGCCCGTGTCGCGCCGCTAAAATTCTTTTCTCTATTTATATTTATTTATAATAAACCGTACGGTGTCGATGCGCACGGCCTGTGCTCGCGCGCGTATGCACCGTATGCATAGATATACTCGGTTCATCCTCCATGTCGCAGTTCCTCGACCAGCCTGCATCGTCCATCCCTCGTTGCATCTCTCTGGCAGAAATCGACGCATCCCTATCTACTACGGATCCCTGCGAGCATCGGCTTCGTCGTTTCTCCCATTCGTTTTTCTCTCGATCGCCCCCCCCCCACCCCCCGCGTTTCTTTTCCATTAATGTACACACCCGCGCTAAATTACCTATATCACTCGTGTTAATCCGCCTCCCTGTCTTCCATCTATCGTAAACGTAGCTCGATCGCGACCGTATTAAAATTTAACATTTAAATTCTTCGATCACTACAATATTACACCGCGACATTTGTACACAGAACAATCACATGAATTTCCACGGCGGCTCTCCTCTCGTCCTGTTCCGCCGAGCCGCGCTCTTCTATACCCATCTTCCTCGCTTTTCCGGTTTCTCGCGCTCGACGTCTCGGGCCGGTCGGTCTCTTCCTTCGTCTCTCTTCCCCTTGTCCTTCCTCTGCCTCGATTCTTCCAGTTCGTTTCGGCGATCTTGTCTTCGCGTGTCGCACGTTCGGTTAGCCTTCGGCTCGAACGCACACGTGCGACTCTTCTTCCTTTTTCCACGTGGACCGGACCGACGCCATCGTGAATCCACCGCATCCCGCGCACCTGGGCACTCGAGTATCCGGCAGCACGGGTCCTGGCGTTCGACGCGGGGAAAGAGGTTCCCTCTCGTGCCTTCGCCGCTGATTGCCCGCGAGCCGACGATCCGTTCCTCGCCGCTCGGGGCACGGTGCTTCCGTCACGCTTCTACGTTTCCCGTTCCGCAAGAACCGTCGTTCCATCGTCTACCTTCACTCGCGACTACTGCTGCAACGTGAGAAAGCGCCGCCGGTTAATGCGATTCCTCCGGGACTCGCGGATACGCTTTGTCAGCGTTATTACCGGACTGCGGACGTTCGCGCGAACACCCCTTTTGCTCCGGCGAATCTCGAGAACTTCGGATTAATTGCCATTGTAATTAGACCGCGGATGTTTATGCTGACGCGCGTTCTCTCTTTTTCAATTCAGAGATGTCGCGGTTTTTACGATACCGCGGCAAGTTATCTCGAAAACTTGATACGCATAAAATCGACAGCAAAAAGAACGCGAACACGAAAGTCACAATTTCTTGTTTAGAATCTTTCGCGCGCACTCGCCGGTGTCCGCAGTCCAGTTGTTATTATTCATTTATATTAACGTAGTGTTTTTTGCAACCATTAGTGGAGATTCTTGTAGCGTGTTTATTTCGTGCGAATTATTTTTGATGTTTTGCAAAAAGTTCGAGTCTTTCAGTCGCTGGAATAACTAACTACACGGTACTAATTCTTTTTCCAAAGTGAATATTAAGCAACGGCTTTGTAACAATTAAACGTTAGAAAAATTGAAAGTACGAATTCAACGGTCCGATTTGATTCGCCACAGTATCGTTGCTCGATAATTCTTATTTGAACGCGTGCTTCCAAAAGACGCTACAACAATGCTTGCGAAGTGTCGCATTCTGCTCAGAATGATCCGAAACCAGCCGTTAAAATGTCTTTACGTTCGAACGTTTCAAACCTGTTGTCATTCGATGTTGACTTTTGAAAGTACCTACGAACGCTTGGTCGCCCAAGCTGTACAGTTTCGGATCGTCCTGAACATCATCCGGAATGTTCATGGAATCGATTGGCATCGGTGTCTCCGTGTCACCGGCAGGAACAACGGGTCCGCGAACAACGCTACTTTCCCACGTACCTTTATAAGTGATGTCCATAGTACTCTGGCGGGTAATGGTACTGATTGTGGAAGGTGGGATCACCGGGCGGCCGGTGCATCATGCCCGCCGCCTGTCCGTCCATCATGTAGCCCATCGTCGCATCCGGACTGTATGCCCCGCTCGGACCTGCGGACAATGGTGGAAACACTACACGTTACTACGGTTAGATCTCTGTTCCGTAATTGGCAAGCGGGTATTGGAAAAGCTCGTCAGTCCTCTCGAACACATCCTCGAGGTCCCATTCGGTGTTCCTCCGCGTGTTACTGGGAACTTTCCATCGGTCTGCCTCGAGAATGGTCGACTCGGCTCTGACGAGCTGTGTTTGTGTTGTGTGATTGGTCGACGCCGCGATCGCTCCTTATAAGATCGCTTTTTATCCCCTGTCGGGCTTCGTTAGCAGGGCAACGTGTTCCCGAAATAGGCAAACATATTTTCAAAGTACGACGTTCTCGTTAACCGTGGCATGCTAAAATGTAAACGGAATTTTGAACATGTATTTTTGTTTTAACAATATTCTTTCATCAATTTTTCATTTTTCAGCGTTAACTGACATCTAAATGCGTTGTTTCACAGCGTTCTATAAATTAATACGATTCGAACAGCAAAAGTAATATTTATATCACTTTTTTTTTTTATATGGATATAAAATGATCCTCTCTTGAGCAGACCTTGAACCTTTTAATACCTTAAGCTTCCTGGGAATAACAGGCTCTACAATGGGCCTGTAAAATCGATGCAAGATTTTGATTTGTTTGCAGATGAAATTTTGCGATATCAGATGAAGATTGATGAAGTTTAACAGGTTGAATTCCACGCCGGTTTTACAGAAATTGCCCGTGGCGCGACGACGAATTTTCTTTTATATGATACATATAATGTTGAAATATTATCTGCAATAGATAAGTTACAGCGTATAACCATGTTTGACATGTTAACTGCGACGGGGGTCATTGTCTGAATCGACGATGGTAATAATACCAAATTTTAGATATTGATATATATATTTCTACCAATTTGGGCGCGCCGGTCACCGGTGGTCCCCATGGAGCCAACGCGAAGTTAAGTGCCGGTCACCACGTGGCATTCAACGTGTTAAGACGGTTTGTCAGTAGATATAATCTTACGGGATAAATATAAGTTGCTAAGATCATTGGTGTTCTTTACAAGTAGAAAGAGACTACAGTGGACAGACGCATCAGTCAAGCGTGTACGCAATAGATGTAACAATGAATGATCGGTTGAAGGTAACTGTAAAATCTGGCAGAAAACATTGGAAGAGTAGGCACGATTGTTTCGATGAAAATATATAAACGAAATTTTATCGAAGAAAACGAATATCTCTCCTCTATATTTGATACAAAAATTTTCAGTAAAAAATTTCTCTTCGTCTGGAAAACAGTCTGGACTCGGCAGTGTGTAAACTGGAAATAGTTTTGGTCCCCTAAGGGTTAATCGATCGAATCACCGATCCCCTCGACAATTAGAAAAAGTCAGCAACGAATAGACGAGCAAGTCGAGTGTCGAATACAAGTAGAAACGAAAGAGTGTTCAAATTATGCTCTCGTCCGCCAATGTGGTTTCTTCTAGCTTCGACCCTAAAGGAGCAAGTGAAACATACCATCGGCGTAAAATGAAGAACATGAAATGTCAAAAATGATACACCGAACATCGCGACGCCGACCAGACGGACGCATTCGTGTCTGTCACCCAACGGTCCGTTCGCTCGCGGAAGTTCGGGTCAGTGGAAATTCGTAAATCAAAGTCCACGGACCCTAATATCGTTAAGTAGACGCGGACCGGAAGACGACGGACCCGCTGCGCCAGCAATCCGTAGCAGGACGATGCCAGGACGAGCCGAGGGATTCAATCTTCGTCGGCTCGGAGCGGTTCGGAGCGGAACGCGACGACAGCTCCTCTCTCTTTTCGTAAGCGGTAATGGAGCCCGAGATCCACGGGAGGCTCCCCTAGTTTTAATGTCGGTATCTTAATGTATATTGCCGCGATAAATCAAGGGCACTGATTGCGTCCTACCCTCCGGCACCAATACCAAAGCCGGCGAACGAAAACGGAGGGAGAGGGCGTCATCGAAATCTCTCGAACACGCCGGTACCCCGAACACCAGCCATTGTCGAGCACTCTTCTAAGCCTTTCTTATGCTAAACCTCGATGGACTATCTCCTCCGGAACGATATTATGCTGTTTATTGCCGGCACGATGCCAGTTCGTCTCGATCGCATCTCTCTCCCGATGGAAATATCGCGTTCCGATCGGAATTGCCGAATACTGTTTCATCGATTGGAACGACTGCGCGAATGCGCGAACGGACTGTGAATTTGATGAACTTTTGACAAGAATGAGCAAGTCAGAGATCCCAATCACTTCGCAACTTCAACAGATTGGAAGAGACATTTAGAAGTTTATTTTTGCGTAAAGTGAGACATTTTTATTTTACACGGAGATTTCCAAATACAAGATATAGTAACATCGAAGACAGAAATTCTTATCCTGATTTCATCGAAATGGCGGTGAGAAGATGTTAATTTATAACTTGAATACGCTCGTGTGGACGATCCTTCGTTTATGGTCTGTCTACCTTATCCATAATTTCCATTACGTGAACGGATGCGACACGACTTGCATGGTCACTTAACTATGCACGAGGTGGTTGCTCAAAAAATAAATGACACTTTATTAAAATTTTAATCGATTAGATTTAAGATATTGAATAACTGGTTGTAGAGAAGAGTCCTATAAAATATAATTATAATGAATTTTTATTATAAACTTAAATTACAATAGATTTCTGATAGAAATTTGAATTATAATAATAGATCTTTATAAGAATTTGAATAAAGATTTATAAATTGTAAATCTTGGGATCCAAAAATTGTCCAATCACGGTAGTTTTTCAGTTGCTGGTGTCGCAGGTCACTCGAACGGGACACGCCGGTCTCTAACGGAAGACTTTGCACCGTAATCGTTACAATGTAATTCACGAGCGAACCAGAGCGATGGAACCACTTACATATAACTATGCATGTGTGTAATTGTAAGCCGGAACAATGCTTGAAACAGAACCGTCGAATTGCAGCACGCGCTAATTGAGAAATCGGAGCCATCGGCATAGGTGAAACGAATAAAAGCCGTTGCGTAAGGATCGTGCGACGAGACGGCAGAGTTTAACGAGCGACAGATCGTTTCCTTGAATCCCGGAGGGCAGAATAATCCCGATAGCCGCGGAGGAAGGAAAAACGAGCGCATCGAGATGTGTAATTCATTTTCCTGCGTGCGCGAGCGATCCCGCGGCGTGAAGGATCAACGGCGCCATTTTCCACCAATCACGGGAGCCCGAACGATTATTGCGGACCCAATAAAACCTTTGTGCGCAGGCTGCGTGCAGCTCTCGCGAAAGGAACGTTCCTCTCTCGCGTTCTCTGTCTCTCCCGCGGCCTATCCGCTCCGCCGTGGAATGTAGCCTCGTATTATGGCCGCTACGATATCCCACTAACGAGGGACGCGCGCTTGTAGTGTGATTAAACCGCGCTATAACGCAGCGGGACGTCCCGGGATGGCCTGGACGGGCCACAATATGGGAAATTAAGGAATCGGCCGCACGGGAGACGCTCGAAGAAATCGCGAGGCCCGGGGGGAACGATCTTTTCAAGACGAGTCGCGAACTTGTCTCCTTCTGTACGTGCAAATTGCCTCGTTAAACCGAGCCCGATCGGCCGGCCCGACGATTACTCCCTGTAAAATTGTCCGCGAATCGAAGTTATGCGCGCGGCTTCGGTCGTTGGCTCCGGGACGCGGCGAAACGATACTTCCCTCGTCGGCGGAGCCGAACAGAGAGATCACCTCGGGTCGATTCGCTTGTTACGCGGCGTTCAACAATTTTTATTGTTTTATCTCGGCGAGCGCGTAGAATGTGGAACGATTATGGGACAAAAAAAAGTTTAATTCTCAAAGAGAAAGAATCGAAGCATGCGATTCCTCTAGGTGAAAAATGCTGCGAAACGATCGCGAATGCCGATTGTAAATCTTAGCAGGCCGACAGCCCTGTCGGTGGTAATTAAACGGCACGACTTCGAGTCCGGGTTTAACAATGAAATGAAAAAGCAGTGACCGAAGTTTGCTTCTCGCGTCGAAGGATTTAACGAACAACAACACGAGCGCGGATCATATTATAAAACACGAAGCTCTGCATCCAGAGTTTCTGCACAGCAAAAAGAAGTGCGGACGGCAATTCGAAAAAAGTAAGGACTCGCGTCTCGTTAATTCAATTTCGTCGCGCACCCGGCGCAAGTCGAAGACCGCGCGAGCCCGGATTATTTGCGCAGCGTACAAGGTGCAAATAAATCAATATCCAGCGCCAACAATATCGAGCTTGCCTTCGAATGCACGAAGTCGTTCCACGAGAGCTCTGGCCTCCAATTAAGTTCGAACGGAGGACGCGGTGCCACCAGGACCGATATTATACCGCGAGCGATTAAACCTACACGGCCGGTATCCTCGCGGCCGTCCGCTCGACCGCTATCGACAAGAACAAAAGAATCGATGGTATCTCTCCGGATCGTCAGATTGTTATCGATCCGAGGAGCGATCCCCTATCGACCTGGTCCGGTCCGGCAGCAAAAAGACAGCGGCGCGCTGGCGCGTCTCTCTCGACGCGCTTTAATAAACGAAGACGAACCATCGGATAGATATGATCGCCGCCTTAATGGCACTTCTTACGGCGCCTTTGAGTCTCGTCGAGATAGCACTTTAGAGTCGTACAGGGAGTTCGTTAGCCGGGTTCCTTCATCACGAACCGACGTTACTTTTCCGAGGGGGCAGAGGACGGGGGTGGCCGGCTCGGGTCACGGCGTAACGACGAGCCGCGGGAAAAACTCGGTGTAACGTAATAAAGCCGGTCCGGGGCCATGTCCGCTTAAATCCGCGAAGCATCTTGGTTTCTCGGACCTTTGCCGACCCGAAACTACCGGCAATAACGCCCCGGTCGGTGATTTAGCCGCGTTTCCAGCCGCGATAAGTTGCGACGAACCGAGTCCGTCGATGCGGGAACGTCGGAGCCGGAGACAACTCTGGCGCAAGAAGGAAGAGGACACTCGAGAGCTACGCGATCTTCTAACTAGCCAGGGTCTGTCTGT